AAAGCTGATTTTAGATAATCTACCTATTCCTTGGGCTTGCAAGAAGGGGTGTGGGACTAGAGATTAGGCATGGAGAACATCGTGGGGATCTTACCTCTGCCAGGTAGTGTCAGATCGATGACTTCCATTGTTCAAAGTCAGCTTAAACAAGCTTTCCTTCTCTAACGTGCCGAGCAGCTCCTATCGCGAAAGCGTCCGGAGGCACTCAAGGCTCCAGGTCCAGGACCCAGGAAAGAGGTGAGCCAACAGCCTTTGTGATGTAAGCACCACTATGACAACTAGGTGACCATGTCCTACCTCACAGGTGGCTGCTGACCAATGAGGGGCTGTGTATCAGGGAAGCTTTCACAGGGCTGCATAAGGCTCCAGATACAAGTATCCCCAGAGGAGGGTAAATTTGTTTTGATGTAGAATATCCTAGTCGCCCAGATCACCTTGGAGTTTCCTGTCTTCCCAGGTGCGCTGTACCTTCCAACACTGATCGAGTATTTAAGTCTGCCTATGCTTGAATTTGTAAGAAATAAAAGCAAGTAGGAACAAGGAAAAGCTTCCTCTCGCTTGCTAGTTCTTGGCCTTTGTTTTTGCATCTTGTCGTCCAAAATGGCTTGTTGTAGCCCTCAGATGTTACACGACTGGGTTGCAACCATCTTGTCCATCCAAGCCTGACAAACGCACCCTGCCCACATGGGTCCTGGGTCTGCCTACATGCAGGCCCCACCCGCCCCCTCCATCCAGTGCCCCCAGTGGTGGGTGCGGGGTGGACGCTGCCAGGAAATCTACTTGAGAAGTCAATGATTCAGGAATTTAAAACTTGGCCCAGTGGGAATCTCACTCAAATGTTTCAGGAGGTAGAAAATCTGTATATATAAAAGTGCTCTTGTTTCCCTCCCATGTTGCTGCCATAGCCCCTAAACATTAGTTATTTAACTCGTACACAACACCTGTCAGATTGCCAATGATCACTATTTTCAATTAGCAGATGAGGATAGGGAGGCAAAGAGAGAGTAAGTGGTGGGTCTAGAAGACATGTGCTGGTGCAGGGAACTGAACCGAGACCTCGAGTCCCTTTTCAGAGACCTCTGATGTGTCAAACTCTCACTGCAGAGGGTTCGCTCTTGCTTTTCCTGAGATGCCGGTAATTCATGGATGACAAGGGAGCTTTTCCCGATGATACTAGAATGGTTGCATGTACTGAATAGGTGTGATTAAGTGTACCGTGTGCCTGCGTACACTGGAGGACCTGCAGGACAAGTAAAATAAAAAAGTGATTGGAGGAATTGTACAAGATGGTGGAGCTGTTATATTTTTTACGTGAATACAGCATCTGGCTTAATCAGGCCCTTTTCTTCCTTCAAAACACAGAGAGAGGCTGACATACCAGGGAAGTTATACCAAAGTTTGCCATCCTATTAAGGCTGTCTGCGCAGCATCTTACAGGGTGCCGAGCACAAACATCAGTCTTCTAAAATAGTGCCTGCTAGTGGCAGGTCAGGCATACAGCATGTGCAGCAGTTTCCCTCGATTATTGCATGCTTCTGGCTTGAACGTCAGAAACAGACATCACCTTTTCACTCCTGCTGCAGGTGCTTAGTCACTGTAAAAACTAGGCCATCATCTTGGCCTACGCAGGTTTCTAACCTGTGTACAGGACCTCCACCTGACACAGGAGGTACACGGTCCCACTAGGGGGAATGCCATACTGGATCTGGTATTGGCAACAGGGGATGACATGGTAGGGGACCTCCAGATCGGTAGCCATCTGGGGGACAGTGATCACCTAATAACAGAATTCACCATAAGACGTCGAGTGGGTAAGGTAACTAGTAGGGTGAAAGTGCTAGACTTTAGGAAAGCTGATTTCAACGAACTCAGGCGATTAGTCAAAGACGCACTGCAGAGTAGGAGTTTTGAAGTGATGGGAGCCCAAGAAGGGTGGCTGTGCCTTAAGGA